ATGATGTAGAGGGATAAACTCAAGCAATATGATGAAAACCCCATCTTTTTATCCTTGATGGCAACAATACAAATACGTGCCTCGCTACCCCTTCTTTGTCACTGGGTGAGGACACCACAAGATTGAACCCAAAACTAAGCACCTCTCCCATTGCAAGAAAAACCAATCTAGTTGGCCAAACCAAACCGATAATTCGAAGAGAAATACAAAGATATAAAATCATGCATATAGAATTTGAAGAAGATTCAAATAATATTCATAGATAATCTGATCATAAATCCACAATTCATCGAATCTCGACAAACACACCGCAAAAGAAGATTACATCGGATAGATCTCCAAGAGCATCGAGGAGAAAATGGTATTGAGAATCAAAGAGAGAGAAGAAGCCATCTAGCTACTAGCTATGGACCCGTAGGTCTAAGGTAAACTACTCACGCTTCATCGGAAGGGTAATAGGGTTGATATAGAAGCCCTCCATGATCGAATCCCCCTCTGGCAGATCACCGGAAAAGGCCCCAAGATGGGATCTCATGGGTACAGAAGGTTGCGGCAGGAAAAGTGTTTTCGTGGCTCCCTCTAAGGGTTTTGGAATATATGTGAATTTATAGGATGAAGAGGTAGGTCAGGAAATCCCCCAGGGGGCCACAAGGCAGGGGGTGCCCCCCCCCTAGGGCGCGCCCTCCACCCTTGCCGCCGCCTCATGGCTCTTCTTGCTTGGGCTCCAAGTCCTTCGGGTGTCTTCTGGTCCAAGAAAAATCATCGCAAAGTTTTATTCCGTTTGATATTCCTTTTCTGTGAAACTCAAAAACAAGGGGAAAACAGAAACTGGCACTGGGCTCTGGGTTAATAGTTAGTCCCAAAAATAATATAAAATAGCATATTAATGCATATAAAACATCCAAAATAGATAATATAATAGAATGGAACAATCAAAAATTATAGATACGTTGGAGACATATCACCTACAGGGATGTAGATCGCGGACAAGACAAGAGACAACTTCACGAAACAATTTTATTTTACACATAGGGGATGTTATGTCAAAATCTTCCATTGATCCTCTCAACAAATACCTTGGGTTGCAAGGCTTATGCCTCAACCCATACCTTACCAAACTACTCACACATAAAGATCATATCGCGGGAAGAAAACATTGAAGAACACATCTTGAGATTGATTGATTGCAATATCTCTTACAATGGATGCCTTGTGTGATGCACGATTACAAGTATGAATGGGATGGATAAGCACTATGGTGGTGGTGGCGGCTAGGGTTTGTGAATGAGGATGATGATGAAGAGGTTCTAGCTTATGTGCTCGTCTCCTGGTTCACATTTCGACGGGGTCCCTTTAACAAAAGTTGTTTGGGTGGACGATCTGCCAAACGGGTGCTCATACGGGCGCTCGTGCCCGTATGGAACGTCGTCTTATGTGCTGACTTCGTGCAGATGCTTCCTGTTGATTCCTTCTTCCTCCATTCTCCTTCCATTCCATTTCCACACGTGATTTCTTCCCTTTTTAGCCCATTTCCTGTGGAAACACATCAAAGAGAGGATTTGTGGATTCCTTTGCATTCATTAGTCATTAGTACCGATATCGGAGCGAACATCTCTTTTTAATTGAAATATCTCGATTTAAACAAAGGTGAAATAAGTGTAAAAATATCACTCAATAACCACAACCACCTTCAGGCTTCTGCCGCTCCCCCGATGTGGGGCTACATCGACGACGCCCGCGGCGATGGCGACCATGTCCACGCATCTGCCGCACCCTGGCATGGGCCTGCGCTTCGAGGACGACCACGGGGACGATGACCACTCCAGGCATCTGCGCTCCCCGACGTGGTCACGAATGCTACCTGCCCCGCTCCCATCGGGGTGCTTGGAGATCGGCGCAGGTGTCCTAGTCAGAGCTTTGCTCGGCAATGCCTAGCCCCGAAACTCTTCCATTTCTACTTTTTTTTGTTCTTGAGATGCATACATTAGAAGTGAATCTGCTGGCCGGAGGTGAACTAGGTCGTTTTGTTTTGAATGTGTCAACTGAACCAATAGAACAACCTTTTTCTATGTATTTCGTTACCACTGACTGGAAATCATTTGTTTTGTGTGATCTGAGCAAAACAGAGATGCATACTAGTCTTCCAGGATGGAATGGCATTTTTTGTCCCTACATTTTGTTGTAGTTGTGATAGACTATGAGATTTGAGAAGAAAATAAATGATTTAGAGCTAGATTGATCATGCCATGTGCGCTGAATTTCTGCAGTGGGGAAAGGGATTTTTAGAGTTTATGGTCATCTTCGTTGAACAGCATAAGAGATAATTAAACTGAAAAGGGATACGTAATCAAAGCTTGTTTTTCATTTAGAGAGAAGGATTCATGACTGAACGTGTACTCTACTATACATTTTTTCTTAAATTTTCCATCTCATTGTACAAATTTTCTTAAATTTTCCTGGAAGATGGCAAATATAGTTATCGAATCATGGCAACTTTAGTTCTCGGATCATGGAAAATTCATTGCTTTCTTGCCATGGCAACTTTTGATTTTGGATCATGGTGCAAATTTAACCGTTTCTACCATGGCATTTTTTTGGTAGACCGTGGCAACTAATCATATACTTTTTGCCATGTAAACATAAAAAATTTAGCTAACTGATCATGGCAAATTTAGTTTACGCATCATAGCAAATTTGCTTCCTGGAAGATGGCAAATATGGTTATCGAATGATGGCAAATTTAGTTCTCGGGTCATGGCAAATTCATTGCTTTCTTGCCATGGCAACTTTTGATTTTTAAAATTGTCGTTGTAATTCTTTAAATTGTCAAAAACAACACAAAATGCCAAATATTGCCATGGCAAGTTTTACTAATTATTTCACCTTTATTAACATGGCAAATTTACCTAAATCCCCATGGCAATATTTAACTTTTATTGCCATGGCAAGTTTTATTATTAATTTTACTTTTATTAACATGGCAAAGTTATCTAAATCCCCATGGCAATATTTAAATTTTTATTGTGTTTAACTATTTTTTGCCATGGCTAATATACCTTCATTAACATGGCAAATTTACCTAAATCCCCATGGTAATACTTAACTTTTATTGCCATGGCAAGTTTTTATTTTTATTTTACTGATGGCAAATTGACCCTTATTAACATGGCAAATTTACCTAAATTCCCATGGCAATTTTTTAATTTTATTGCCATGGCAAGATTTGCTACTCCCTCCGTCCAAAAATTCTTGTCCTAGATTTGTCTAAATACAATGTATCAAATCACATTTTAGTATTAGATACATGCGTATCTAACAAATCTAAGACAAGAATTTCGGGATGGAGGTAGTATTTATTTGGCCTTTATTAACATGGCAGATTTTACTGTTTTTGCCATGTCAAATATATGCAAATATTAATATGATTTTGGTTATGGCGTTTCTCTTTGTTTTTTTTTTTAGTTTTTCATCTTTTTGTGTTTTTTCAGACACGGCATTTTTCGCATACATTACATGTAAATTTAAGTAAAAATACTATGACATTTTTTGCTATGAATTTGCCATTGCAAATTATTTTGTTTGTATGATGGAAATTGCCATGACGTTTCTTTTCTTTTTTGGGTTATTGTTAAAATATATTCTTGTTCACCCATGCCAATTTTCTTCGTTTGAAATTTGATGGCATTTTTTACTTATCAAAGCAAAAAAATTGGGTTTTTTTGTCACAGCAAAAGAGAAGAAAAATCTGGGCTTTTTTCTTTTATTTTGCGTTACCTTTTGGGCTGTTAGGGGCTGGGAGGCGTTCGCGCCTTGGCTTTCTCCTCCCGAATGAGTGGGTTCAATTGTTGCCTCTCTTGTACCGAACGAAACGTTCGACCTAGGATGCTCCCAAACTATACCTGGGCATATCTCGGGCCGGGCCGGGCTTCAGGCCGGGCCAAAAAAAGCCTGGTGCTACAAACCTAGGCCCAAGCCTGGCCTGACCCGGCCATCGGGCCTACAAAATCGGGCCCGAGCCCAAGAAAGCCCGACACGGCCCGGTCGGCCCGGCCTGACCACGACTAAAAATGTGTTTTGTGCATACCCGAGACCGGCCAGACCTGCCCGTCGGGCTCAGTTTCCAGGCCCGAGCCCGGCCTGATGGCACACTCGGGCTCAACCTGGCCCGGGATTTTTGGGCTGGATCGGGCCGTCCAGGCCGGGCTGCCTATGGCCAAGTCTATCCCAAACCGAACGTTCCCGCAATATCAAGGTCCAATTTTTACTATTTCTGATGGTCGTTGTGTTCGAGAGAAGCTAATGTGCGAGGGGAGAAAGGGGGCAAGGACGATGGCGAGGAGAAGGGGTCGGGAAAGGTGGCATGGAGGAGAAATGAAGGCAGCAAGGGAAAGGGGACGGAAATGAGGGTGCAAAAGTGTGATGGAGTTTCCCGCAAAAAAAGTGTGATGTAGTTTTCATAAAAAGGTCCGGTCGCGTCAGTTATTTCGGTACGGAGGGAGTAGCATTTCTCTGCCAGACGAAGAGAAGATTATACTCGCAATAACAAAAAAAAAACACAAGAGAAGGATAAATGGCGTGTGTCTGGAGTTGATAAATTGCAAAGCTTCACGAAAGTACAATGTGAGATTCCTCGGGTTCCGATTCCCATTTGACAGCAGCCACGGCACAAGTTTCCTTCCGAACAGTACAATTTGTCATCAGGGTCACCAACTTGAGTTTGAAACGCGTGCTATATATATCAGCAGTTCACGTTCAGCACTGCACGGCAGCATAAAGAGAGATTCTTCGAGTCTCAATTAGTAGCAGATAAATTTTCCAATCAGCATCTAGACCAGATAAATCTCTCCCTCCATCCAAGAATCTACTTTACCCGAGACTTTGCCGTGCGCTCATTGGGCTCAATCATATGCGATAAACCGAAGTTCTATCCGCCGCGCCATCGCCTTCTTTCCCTCTTTATAAAAGGCCAGCAAGGAGATCAGGCTTCTTCCAACACCACAATGGCTCACAACTTCGTGCCTGATGCATGGGGTTGGATCACCAGCCTGCCCCCATTCTCCCAGTGGCGCACCAACACCATGTCCCTCTGCATCTGCGCCACGCCTTCAGCGTCGGCGTCATCACAGCCGACATCAATGACCCTCTCGGTTGCCAAAACACCTCCCACCCAGCCTTCCTACCTCACCTTCTCCATCTCCGCCAACTACCGCGAGCCGATATTCCTGTGGACGTCGAAACCGGTCCACCTGAAAACCAAGGCGCAGCAATCCCTGGACGAGCAAGACATGGTGCAGCTGTTTGTGGACATCGTGAACCAGGTGCTGTGGTACGGGCCGGACAACAGCAGCAAGCCGTCCTTCCGGTTCCCCGGGGCGCAGCACCTCCATGGCGGCAGCTTCAGCGACGCGTTCAACATAGTCTTCTTGTCACTTGCTTTCCTGGTCTGCATCTACGAGGCGCCCCGCGACCTCCGCCGTGGGTGCCTGGACTCACTGAGGACCCAGCTGACCAGCCCAAAGTGCAGAGGCGCTGCAAAGACCCTCGTCAAAATGCTCGGCGCCAACCTCGAGGACCAGTGGATGCAGACGATGAATCTCGCGGTGACCAACTGGATGGCCGAGATGCGGTCCTCACACCACGCGCCCAGGGCAGCGTCACCGCTCTTCTCGTACGCCCTCCAGGCAAGCGGGCTCTGGAAGGTCCAGCTGTACTGCCCAGTGATCGCCATGGGCATGGAGGATCCTGCGGCAGCGGCGGCGCAGGATGAGCGCCTTCTCTTCTCACTCACTTATCAGCAACTTGAAGGCGTGGTCCAGCTAGCCTACAAAACAGTCAGAAGGGATAACTGGATTGATATCGAGGTAAAGGTGGATAACATAAGGTCAGTGGTATTCACATATACAGATTTCCATTCTCTTTGTCGCATTAACCATTTCTAAGCACCCCCGACCGCTGTCATCAATACCAAAAAATTAATAGAGAGAACAGCCGAGTTTTGTAGTTGACATTTCCTCAAAGGTCTAACTAACAACTTAGATCCTTGGAAGAGTAAAACTATTTTGTTGATGCCTACAGCAAGGCAACAACATGTTTTAGAAGTTCAAATGCTTGTTGATCTTAGCTGTGACTGGGCTAAATGTTTACTCAATCAAAAACACTGAAATCTAACAACTCAATTGTTTCAGTTAAGATACTGCCAACCGTAGAAAGCAAATTTCGAATTTCCTCATATATGTGAAGAACACTTACTGTGGCATTCCTCGATATCAGGTGCGACGTGGACCCTTTGGTCTCCGAGACCCTCATGGCGGAGCGCGGATATGGTTCTGAAGAGAAGCATTTCCCATCTCGTGTCATGCTGCAGATCACACCTATGCAACAAACAGATGTACTGTCAGTTTCAGTCAGCAAGTCATCCGACAACCCCACCCACGAGTTCGGTATTGAAAAAGGCTTCGAGGGCTCGTTCGATCCCCCAAACTCATTTGGTCTCAAGGCCTCTGTCACTGAAAGCCTCACGCTGGCCATGAAACCCTGGAAATTCGAGCAGTCCGTGCACGGAAACACTGCAACCTTGAACTGGTTTCTGCACGACGGCATGAACGGGAGGGAGGTTTGTGCTTCAAAGCCTTCCAAGCTTTCGCTGCTTCAGCCGAGGGCTTGGTTCCGTGACAGGTACTCAAATGCGTACCGCCCATTCACAAAGCAGGGCGGAATCATTTTTGCCCGCGATGAGTATGGAGACAGTGTAAACTGGAAGGTCTGTGGTGCAGCATTAGGAAAGACTATGGACTGGGAAATCAGAGGCTGGATTTGGCTAACCTACTGGCCAAACAAACAAAGGACCTCTCACAGTGAGACAAGGTGGCTTGAATTCAGAGAATGTCTGCAACTTCCCCTTACAAAGTTTCCATAGTCTATCTGTAGTATTTCAAATGATGTGTATAGCAGTGTTAGTGGTGTGTGTGCATGTAAGACAGTAAGAGCTATAAATAAATAAATGAAGTTATTATATTGTAGTTTTGCTATACATTTAAGAGATAAGAGAAAGAAATTCCAAACGTGCCTCTTGG